TACACTTTTACCTCTACACCAGCATCCTCAACAGAGGCTCCTCCAGAATATTTACCAAAGTCAGGAGACATTTTTGATTGTCATGACTAAGGGAGTGCTTCTGACATCCAGTGGTGAAATCAGGGATGTTGCTACACGTTCTACACAGCATGGAACTGGGCCCCAAATGTTACAAGTAACAAGATTGCAAAGCTTGGCTCTTGTTCTGCCACCACAGCCTGGATGCTCCACAAAAGAGAGATGCTACATAGCTTGGCTGTGGTTTTAGACTTGGGATTTCCCTTAGTCATTGTGGGAATCTGAGTTCTGCTGACTCAGCATCCTTGCAAGTGGTGATGAAGCTGGGCTCTGGAGTGCGCTAGAGCATGACAGCATGCATCCAACCATCATTCCCTGAGCACCTGCTATATGCTAGTGGTGACTGGGGCAGGGCAGACACAGCAAGCTGGCTAGTGGGAAGAGAGGCATTAGACAACATACAGGCTCATAGACAATAATACTTGGTGATATGTGCCATGAAGCAAAGGATCAAGATACCATGAAAAAAAAGAGGGAAGAGCCTACTGGATTGAGACATAGAGGTGGGAGTAAGGAAGAGCACTGCAAGTGAAAGGGCCAGCTGTGCGAAGGCCCTGAGGTTGGATCTGAATGCTGGGCAGTGTGAGGGAAGGCCAGTGGAGGAGGGAGAGGGGTACAGAGCATTGTGATCTTGAGGAGACTGGAGGTTACAGTACAGAGTATGGCCTAATGCCCAATGACGTGTCTTTGAAGGATTCCATTCAAAGCAGTCACACTGAGGCCTGCCCATCAGAAAGTGATCCCTTTGGGGTCTGGGCACAGCCCTATGCAGAGTGCGCTGTGTGATGTCAAAATCCAGGGCCTGCTTCATCAGCCAGAAACCATCACACAAGTGAGGTTTGTCATAATCCTGCAACCTGAAACAATGCACCTTGCCTGCCCCAAGCCCCAAGCAGATTGTGAAACGTGGTGACTGGAGAAACGTGCATACATTACAAGATTACTGCCCTGGCTTATTCAGCATTAGACAGAGCGTGGCATTAGTCACTGGAAACACCTATTTGGGTCATATGGCTTTCTCCTTGCATTGGCTTGGAAAGACAGTGAAGCTTTTTAGCATCCTAAATTGAACTCAGCCTAAATGGGGGTGATGCCCTGGGGAGTTTTATTATATGAAAGAGGAAACACTGGGTCTCTTACAGCTTCATTGGAAATAGTTATCCCTGAAACAAACAGAATTAGACCCATTTTGTAACTCTGTTTTCATTGATGCATTTATACCCCATTTGTGTCCTGTGCTGTTCTAGGCACTGACAAAGAACATACATGATCAGTTCTAGAAAGAAACAGGCCAGCGATTTCAGTTGTATAGGAAAGAGTATTTACAGTAACTAAAAACTGAGGGAACACTTGAATCAGAAATACAGTTTGCTGCTTTTGGGTCACTCTGCTTTGCGGAACTTTCCCTCTGGAAACTGCAGCTTGCCTTCCTCAAATGTGGAGGTGTCCCTTGTCTGGGTATGTTGGCACCCACTGATTCCTATTCCACCATGGGCTGGGCTGTGTTGACTGGTTTGGCCTGGGGAACCATGTGTCTGATCCTGATTCTCATTTCTGCTCAGTCATCTGACATACTTAGGACTCTTCTTATTGTCAAAGACAAGAACTTCGGGCTTTGAGAGTATCTAATTGTTCCTGCCCTATCAGGATGGTATTTCCAAAGGTGGACATTCCCCAAGATAATAAAAGGGATTGTATGAAGAAAAGGGTTGCATGGACAATAAATTGAGGGCACACTATTTCAACACAATCAAGCAGCCTCCTTTATTAGAGGACTTTTAGGAATATTTAGCATGATGATGTACATTATAAATCTTCAAAAAGGAATGCTATATAATTATCCTGCATCTTGCAGGAAACGTCCAGGAATTGTCATCCACAGCCACAAGGTGGCAGAAAGTGGACACCACAGTGTGTTAAGTGCAGGTCTGGTCAGTGGTCAGTGTCTGTCTTTTCTTCCAGACTCCAGGTTCCTGGAAGAGACTGTCGCAAACCCCCAATGCTAGAGCCCAACAAAGGGGTCAGTGGGGGTGGGGGGTTGTCTTTCCCAGGGCAGCCTGTCCAGCCTGGCCACTCTACCCCTCCACCATAGTGGTACCAGGGTGTGAGCTGCCCTTTGTTCAGCTGCCCACAAAATGTAGACATGTTGACTGGGGAATTGTTTGATATGCTTAAAAAACTAAAGAGCTTTTAGCACTTTTTCTCTACCTTTTTGATTAATGAACTAGTCATATTTTTATTTAAAAAATAAAATAGCCTAGAGCATAATGTAAAAAGTGAAGCCCCCCACTCCCACTCAGCATTCCTTCTTTTTATGTATATGTATATATATATATATTAACATTATTCTTCATTTTGTACATTTTTTCATCTCAGTTATAATCCCATGTGCCATCACTATAGTCCCATGTGCTCTTCCCACCCCATTTTGATCTTGTTTTCCTCTCCTCCCCTGTAGAATGTCTCTGGTTTATAGTTGTTAGTTGATATTTTTACTTAATTACAACCCAAATAGATGACTGGACCAAGAAGATGTGGTATAGATACACAATGGAATATTACTCAGCAATTAAAAAGATAAACTCATGGCTTTTGCGGCAACATAGATGGAACTGGAAAAGATCATGCTTAGTGAAATAAGCCAGAAATATATATATATATATATTCAGCATTCCTTCTTAAGACGTTGTAAAACCTGGTTTGGTGGTGGTAGAGAAGGACTGGTCTGGCATCAGAGCTGGTTTGATTCCCAGCTCTGCAACAGGCTAGCTGTATATTCCTCCTACAAGCTGACTCAGTAAAATGGAGGAAGCTTAGTAAGGGTTGGGGGAGCATTGAGTGGAATAAAACAGAAGCACTCAGTAGACCCTTCTCCTCTAGCCTACACCTGTTTGGATTTGTTAAATTGGACTCTTAGCATCTTCCTTCCAGAAGCTAGGCTTTTTTTTTTTTAGTTCATTTCCATGCAATGAATGCCCTAATTATAGAATGGGGTCAATCTCTTCAGTCTGTTCATGTGGGGGTTTTTTAGTCCTCAAGGGGAGCTTCTATAGCAGAAACCACTATTCAGAGGTTTACTTTATTTTTCAAATTAATATTCAAATTGTAAAACTTCAAACTTCAAAAAAGGAACTAATTAGCTGATTCATGCTATAAACTAGTTTATTTTAGATGCTAGAACCAAAATCTTTCAGGATCCTGATAGTGTGATTATTGCAGAAAATATCATAACTTTAAGTTCAGTTTGTAAAACTTCATATTCTTTTGACAAATGCAGCTAGCGAGCATTACCAGATAAAATACAGGTTACCCAATTATTTTTGAATTATGTAAACTTTAGTTTTACTTAATACATTGTATTAAGTAAGTTGTAAGAAAAGTACTTTGTCTTTTCCTTTGTTAAATCTGGCAATCCTACAATTAGTTTTAATCATTTAATTTAATTGCAAATACTTTAAACTTCTTTTACACAATTAATATATCCTACTTCCTTATAAAATTCTTCAATATAGAACTAGCAGAAAAGGGACCCTTCTAAAGTACTGAATAAGTTTAACAAATTAAACTTACAAATCACTGTTAACCCAAAATTCTTATAAATTCTCCAGAACTGTATGCAACTTAGTAAATCAAAGTCATGAATCTATATCAATCCTCCCATTATACATTTCATGTCGGAGTTACAAGACTGTCAATTTAAAAGGTGCGAATCTCTCATAGGTTACAAGTTCATAAAGTAGCACAGGCACAAATTCTGTCTTCAAAGACACACAAAATGTACCACAGTTAATGCTAAATCATTCTTTGGTTGGAGAGATGCTTCCTTTTGCTCTGCTAAGCAAAGCCACTTATCACCAGATTCAGTGAGGCCTGAAGTCTAGGCTGGAGACAATGGGGACTATCACTCACTGGGAGTTCAGGAAATCACTCTTTCCATCTCTGTATTATTTGGGGTTATGTATTGAGAATTCCCAGGCCCTCGTGGCCAGAGATCTTTGTGGAGATGCTGACTGCATGTTAGTGTATGCACACTTTTCCCTGTGGGTCCAGCCACCACCCTTCACTTTAAGAGGGGTTATCCAGAGACCTCCAACACTGGCTTCAGGTTACTCTCAATACTATTCTGTTCACAGAATTTTCCTTGCCAAAGCCTGCAAATCTCTCCCAGCTTCATAATCTAATTGGATTTTGCATTTCTTCTGCATTTCAGATTTTCATATCTTCCCCCCAGATCTCAAAAAGTCATTTTACTGAGGCTGAAATCCTAGAATTCTTACAAAACTGTCCATTGTCAGGACCAAAGACTCTTAACAAGCAGGAAAATGATACCAGGTGGAGCCATGGTTCTCTCTAGGAGCCTCACTGGGTCCTTGTCCTTAAAGTCCAGGGATATTTTAAAGACACGTTCTTAGAGGCCAACACTTCTCTCCCTGACAATACACTGCTAGTATTTTGTGTGTGAAATTGTATATAGAAAAACCACCTTAAAAATTAGGCAATATAAATAAAACTGACTTAATCACACCCGTCAGAGGGTTTAGGGTCAGAGACTGTGCATGTCAGCTGGCTGCCAAATGGCAGGAAACACACCAAACCTCCCCCTGTCCCCCGAGAATCACCACCTTCAGTGCCCTCTGGAATGGACCACTTTCATGATCAGGAAAAGGCATCTCAGGAGCAAGCACAGAAGAGGCAACATGTCACGTCAGGCTCATGGATGACAGATAAGACTCTGCAAGGGGTGGTGTCTAAATCAGGAAGGCCAGGGACCTCTAAAAGGCTGCCTTACTTCTTGTATTTCTCTGGGGAATGAAATCCAAGACCTTCAGTTCCTCTGAAAAGTGAAAGAAGCTGAGAGGAATCCAGTAATTCCTGTTATCTGCACGCTATATAAAGCAGCGAGTTTAAGGAGGTGGCCCACAGCTTCTGTCCTTCCTAAGCCCTGAAGCCAGAGGAGCGGCAGGATGTCTCAGCCACTGGTCTCCCTGCTGCTGCTCCTGCTGTGTGTCAGCGGCTCCTTGGCCCTAAAGATCTGCTCCTTCAACGTGAGGTCCTTCGGGGAAGCCAAGAAGGATAATGGGAAAGTCATGGATGTCATCGTGAAGGTGAGTCCCTTTCCTGTCAGGAGGGTCACTGAACTCCTCTCAGGCCCTTTCAGGTTTTCAAAGACTAGGAAGGAATTCTGCTGGTTAGTTAAATGAACCCTCTGAAGCCTGGTGAAGGAGGCAGCTGGCTTAGAGTTTTGTAACAATAACAACAGTAAGAGATGAAGTAACTACTTTGCTTCTCTAGGCTTCTTGTCATCACCTGCCAGTGGGGATAAGAGCAGTACCTCCCTGTCAGAATGTCAGAAGGAATATGTGGATTAGTAAATGCCAAGCCCTTAAAACAGTATCTGGCTCAGAGTAAGTTCTGGGTGAGGATTGACTAGTACTATAATTTATTACCATTTATTAATACCCGTGTCAGGCTCTACAAATACATAATTTCCTTTCATCACCCTTAGGAAGGAGGATTATTATCTGCATGTAGAGATGGTGAACAATATAAAATGAAGTAACCTACAGCGTGGGTGACTGTGGGGGAACTGGGATGCCAGCCCAATCTTATCTGTAGACAGAGCACAGAATTTTCATCTTCCCTTCTTATTCCTTTCTTTCCATTCTCTTCTCTTTGCTTCATCCTTCCCTTCTCACCTCCCATCTCCAAGTCCCATCAACCTTCTCCCAGCTCCCAATAGTAATCTTCCTCCCTATGTAGATACTCCCTTAGGTGTATGGGATAAGTCTGCTCACAGTTCTCCAGAGTCAGTCAACTCTCTTTACTCTATAGGTTGACTTCTTGAAGCTAGTTACTCAAATCTTTTCTCATGGCTGGGTATTAGAAAACTCTGCCGACATCATAGTATGGTGGGAATGCCAAGAGCCCTGGTTCAGATCCCCTCTGGCGGGATAAGTGCCTTGCTCTCCCTGAGCCTCCAGCACCTTTCAGAAAAGGGGGTCTTATACAAGGTGGGGCTCCCGGGGATTGAGAGAGCTCAGTCAGGGGGTGGGGGGATCTAGCACAAGGCCCTCAGCAAAGCCTGTGACAAGGCAGATGGTCATATCAGAGCTGCTGCTATTGTTATCTGGCCAAGAGCGAGTACTGACATGCTTTGTTTTAACTTAGACCATCCCCTCCACCCCCACCCCCAGGTGGTTCTGCCCTCTGGGTGGTACCCAAGGCCTTCTAGATATTGTTGTTGATCCAGAAAAGCCAGGCCAAGCCTATGGGAACTCTGACTCTGTAGCTCAATGGGAAACTCCAACATGCAAGGAACCAATTTTTCTCTCCTGCCTGGGCCCCTGGAGCTTGGTACTTCCAGAGTTCCCATCACCTTTCTCACTTATTCCACCTGGGAACTGTCACCTCAGTCTTTGAGGCTGTCTCAATGTTCCCTGCTGATTCCAGTATAAGACCCAACATGCAGCTCTCTCTTAGACACTGTGTCCTGGGGCCCCCTGGTAGACCACTCATCATCCCACACAGCAGCAGGCATGTCTGGTCTTGTCAAGGCCTCCTTACTTGTCCAGCACTACAAAATCATCCTATAAACAAATCATCCACCAAAGTCACTCAGAGCACTTTCAGGGAAACCGAAGCCCAGGCATGAAGGAGAGCAATATTTACATGGTCTGACCTTCTATAGGGCAGGGATTTTACTTTTTTTTTAAATCAAATTTATTTATTTATGCATACAGAACTGAAGTAGAGGCTAGAGGTGCAGGGGCGGTGAGAGGGTTCACCAGAAACAGAGTGGGGAGCAGAACAGGCAGATCAACGAAGTACACTGCTGAGGGGAGCAGCGGCAAGACAGGAGAGGTCTGCCACGCCATGTGGTCACCTTTGGGGCCAGAGATCGAACTCACACTGAAGCTGCTGCAGCTGCGCCACCAGGGAAGGCCAGTCAGGGATTTTTATATTCATGTTTAATACTATGATACAGGCAGCACCATCCCCACTTTATAACTGCCTTCTTCATGGTGGGTTTGCAGTGCCAAGAGTTGGGCTCACACTCAAAAAGGGGACCTTTGCCTTTTAGGAGGAGTGGTCACGGGGACACCCTGATAGTTCAAGGCAGTGATCAGGAAGGGGTTCTGCCGTGCAAATCCCATATCCCATATTCACTGATACTTGAATTACTTAGCCTCACTGAGCTGCCAGGTCTCTAGTCATGATGTGATGGGGGTAGCAAGAGGACCTGCCTTGCAGGGCTATGATGAACATCCAGTGAGTCAATGAGAACAAACATTTACAAAATCCTCACTATGTGCTAGGTACCACATTAAGTACTTTATATAAAACAACTCATTTAATTTATATTAAATAAGCAGAATCACACCTGTTAATCACACCTTAATAAATATTGGCTATCATCTCCTCCCTGACAATTCCTTCTTCATCAAGCAGTTGTTTTTTTTTTTTAAATGACACTTTAATTTTTAAAATTATACGCTTAGCATTTATAAATTCATTTTATTAAATTGAAAATAGTCACTATGGACTATTTTGAAAATATAGAAACATATAAAGAAGGAAAAAGAATTGCTCATTAGCCTGTCACTTGAAAATAACAGTTGTTGGTATTTGGGTATTTTTATTACAGGCATTTTTAATGCAAAAATAAGTACATTAACTGCAACAATCTTGCAGCATGGAGACCACACTATGACATCAGTTTGTGTATTGCTCTTATAGTAGAAGAATTTTCCATGTTAATACTTGTAAGACTTGACTTTTGATGCCATAAAATGCCCTACATTATGTTTAGAACCGATTTCATTTAATACTTTCCTTTTGGGTGGATAGTTAGGTTGTTTCCATTTGTTGGTTTTTATTTTTGTTTTTTTGTCACTGTTACAAGGCATCTTTCTTTTTGAGGTACACAAGTAATAATAAAAGTAACAATAATAGTAATTTGTGTGCTTCCTATATAGTGCTGCTTTACTTACCCACTTAATTCTCCAGCAACCCTGTAAAGGAATGACTATCACCACCCCAATTTATAAATGCAGAAACTGAGGTAGAGAAAGAGCGGGATTTTCTTATAGTGGAAGGCATTCCTCAAAGTGGGAAAGCTGAAGCAAGAGTCAAATACATTTTATAATACTATTGATGTATAATTCTAAAATGCCTCCCAGAATGTTTTGCAATCACAGGTGACGAAATCAGCTGGCTGGCTTGGTGAGTGGCACCCTTTCCCCAAGTGGGAGAATTAAGTGGGATAAAACCCACTTGATTATGAGGTCTAATTCTTGTAATTTATTGTTGGATTCAATTTGCTAGTATTTTGTTGAATACTTTTGCATCAATGTTCAGCAGGCATAGTGACCTATAATTTTCTTATACTGTCTCTAGTCAGCTTCTTAAAGGCTGCACAAAATGGTGCTGTTAACTTTTACTGCTTCCCCTCCTAGAGAAGGAACTAGAATGCTCTGGAAATAGGGCCAGTGGCATACCCCTACTACTCCTCATCTCTGATGCTATGTGAGAGGATGAAGTTAAATTTTTTTTAAAGAGTTATTTATTTAAGCTTACAGAATTGAGGTACAGGCCAGAGGTGTGGCATGTGAGAGTATTCACCAGAGACAGAGCGGGGAGCAGAACAGGCAGATTGACAAAGTACACTGCTGAGGGGAGCAGCCAGCGGGTCAGAAGAGGTCTGCCACGCCATGTGGGTCACCTCCCTGGTGGGGGATCGAACTGGTGCTGTAGTGGCTTCAGAGAGTTTCATAATGTGGTGCTTTAACCCATTGTACCACCAGAGAGAGCCTGAAATTAAATTTTTTAAAGATTTATTTATTTATGCACACAGAACTAGGGTACAGGCACAGTGAGAGGATTCACCAGAGACAGAGGATTCACCAGAGCAGAACAGGCAAATTGATGACGTACACTGCTGAGGGGAGCAGCGGGTGAGACAGGAGAGGTCTGCTGCACCATGTGGGTCACCTCCCTGGTTGGGGATCGAACTCACTGAAATTGCTGCCACTAGCCTGGTAGTGCTGCATTTTAACCAGTTGTGCCACAAAGGAGGGCCCAGATGAAATCAATTTTAATTTCACCTTGTTTTAAATAAACAATCCCATTCATTCATCCCACCAGGATCCCATACACAGAAAGATCCCCATTATTTCCAGTGGGCATTGACTTGGTTAACTTTCTGCTTTCCAGGTTATTGCTCCCCTGAAGGGGCCTCTTCAGCATTATTTGCTGAGTAAGCTCCTTCTCACCTTTCAGAGCCTGTTCAAAACTCACCCTCTCCTTGGAGCCTCTCCTCGCAGTCTGGGCAGATAATTAATTATTACTCAACAGGCCCACATGTGTGGCCTGATTTTTATTTGCCTCTCATAGTAGCTAGTTGCTCCATGTGTCTGTCTCAGTGATGCTGTCTTTCACTGCAGGGACAATATTTTAACAGTTCTGCATAGTGGGTTTACAATCACCCAGGAGTTTAAATCACGTGTGTGTGTGTGTGTGTGTGTGTGATATATATAGTCCTTTCAAATAGTTGTATAGAACATAGCACAGAATTCAGGATAGAACAGACTGAAGATAAGCACATTTTGGTAGGAATCAGAATTCTGGTGTGGGTATACACTGATCTCACAGCTAAGGTGGAAAGGACTGAGCAAGACCTAGAGAAGATGAGCCAGTGTAATTTTTTTGTAATAAAAATTTATTTTTAAATATACAACAGGCTCTAAGACACTTCACTCTAGTTAGCAGCAACAGATGTTATGGAGGGAATTCATATGTTTAACCAAGAACAGAATTAAGGATCATTATTGCTGTAGGAATAAGGAATAGTGCTTTGCCAGATTTCTTAGCTCCCCCTGTGGTCAGAGGTCTTTCCCCTAAGTTTTCACATTTAGTTTCCAGAGTTTCTTCTGCTCCTCTTCTGACTGAATGCCTTTTCTTCCTCATCCATTTCTTTGGCCTGATTCTTGGGCTGCTCAGGAGTTTCTAGCCAGCTTTGCACCAGACATGGTACCTGCAGCACCCAACCTCATAGTTCAAATTTTTGCCTACCACCTATACTGGTTGTGTGACTTTCATCAGCTTGCTCAGTTGCTCTAAGCCTGGTGCCCTCCTATGTTTAATGGGCCAATAAGTCCATAGGCTCAGAGTAAGCACCCAATACATTTTAACTCTGATAATTATTATAACTATACCTCTTTATTTTTTCAAAGTTTTATTTACTTATTTTTGTATAGAAGAACTGGGGTGTAGGTCAGAGGTGTGAGAGGATTCACCAAAGACAGAGTGGGGAACAGAACTGGCAGATCTACTGAAATACACTGCTGAGGGGGTCAGACAGGAGAGGTCTGCTGTGCATGTGGGTCAGCTCCCTGGCTAGGGATCAAACTCAGGCCATAAAGGTGATCATGCTGAGACTTAACCTCAAGGCCAAGGAGGCCCTATACTGTTGGAGACCAGCTCCAACTATTGAGGTGTCTGGAGGCAAGACAGGCAGGACCCTAAGGTGGGAAGGTGTCGGCGAGTGGAGATTCCTAAAAATGGGGAAAAGGAAAAAGGGAAAAGGGGAGCGAGGGAGATACAGGAGTCAGAGTTGGGTGCAAGTCTTCCTGCTCATCTTTTTGCAGGTCTTTATTTATACTGTTTAGCAAGATTTAGTTACAATAATGCATCAGGTAAGTTAATAAGAAATCAGCGTAAAAGTTTTAAAGGAAGAGGGGAACAATGCATCCTCCTCCTGCTCCTTTGTGGCATACTGTACTATACAGCTTTGTGATAGCTTTCATATATACGGATGTTTAACTATGACTTCAAAGGATCAGGGTCTGGGAAAGGATGAGCTGTTAGCAAAGGATTTAGGAGTCCTAGGGAAGGAATAAATTGTGTTAGCAGAGTCGTCAGTGATAGTCTAAAGGAAAGCTAATGGCTAACTTAAGGTTAGCAGAGAGTAGCTAGTGTTTGTTTTAGGAAAAGTTTAATTAAGACTAGCAGAGAGTAGTTAGTGATTGTTTTAGGAAAAGAGTAAATTAAGAAGAAGTCAATAGTTATGCATTAAGCAAAACCTGTATTGATAATGTTAGGAAATTGTCCATGGGTCCTTATGCCCTGAGAATTATCTAAGATTCACTTTTTGTCAAAAGACCAGGGAACTTTCCAGGAGTCTTAATGCTCTGGGGTCTTATCTCTCCAAGAGCTTGCCTTTTGTCTTCAGTCAAAGGAATTTCCTGCTCAGGAGCAGCTCAGCTTGTACTTTGCCCAGGCCAGGTAGCCAGTTTAGAGCTAAGGCAAGCCAGTTACAAACTGATGTTGCTACAATATTTTTGATATTATGATTATACAAAAAAGGGAGATCATAACATAGTTAGCAGTGGAAATTCTGATTTTTCAGAGCTTTTCCCGATCTACCCGGAATCTGTCAGTCGATAGACGTTGCATAGCTTGTGTCACTATACCTCTTTGTTTTTGCAGTACCCAGCCTATTACCTCTCACCAAGGGCTTGATATACAGTTATTACTATCACTGTAATTATTCAAGCAAATTGAAGAGCTAGGAGGTGGGGTACCATGATATGGGTTCTAAACTAAGATTGTCTAGGTTTATTTTCTGCCTCTGCCTGGCTACTTTCCAACAGGGTGACTTTGGGGTTTATACCCAGCTTCCCTGAGCCTCATGCTCTTTGTCTTTGAAAGGGACAATACAATAGTGCCTACCTCAAGGAAGCTTTCATTTATTTCAGGAAAGAAGTTACATGAATAAGTACCCAATCTAACACTTAACATATAGCAAATGTCCAATAAATAAACCTTGTCATCTGAAGTAAGTGGTCTCAAACACCTGGAAATCCTCTCTTTATAGGTCATCAAGCGCTGTGACATCATGCTCCTGATGGAAATCAAGGACAGTAACAATATAATTGGACCCATGCTGATGGAGAAGCTGAATGGGTAAAGACAGCCACATGCTCACCCTTTGCAGGTTCAAGGTCAAACCAAGGGCACCTGAAATGCCCTGGTGGACCAAAATTCATGTGAGAGCCTGCACTCACCCTGACTGCTGGGTCATATGGCCAACACTGCCCTCACTTTCAACTCTTTCAGCCACAGTGCTGAGAACTTTTCAACTCGCTTGATATAATATGATAAAGCAAAATAGGGGAAGCAGGTGAGGAGTCAGAATAGGGAGAGAAACGAAAGCAACAGACGAGAACTGAGATAAGAAGTATAGTTACAATGACAAGATGCAGTAGAAATAAATTAAGTTATGCCTGCAGAGAGGAGTATTATGTCTCATTAAAAACCAAGCTAGCTAGAAAAGGGTAGGATGAAATATTCCAGCTTTGGGTAAAGAGGCTGCAATGTATTGAAAACAAGCAAGTTTTAATATCTGTAGGCAGAGCAGGCCACTTTACTTGTCATATTACATTACACATGAAGACTGTGTTTGAGTCTGCCTGGGCAGCAAAATTGGAAGGAATGCTGTAAACTGTCAGTGGTGGGTAACTATAGGAGGGGAGGGCTATCTGGGGTAGGTATTATGACTGAGGCTTCCCTTAAACTGGGAGAACTGAGGAACAGAGATGAGGGACCTGCACAGTCACCCACTCTGTAAATGACCAAGTGGAACATTGAGTTTGCGTGATAGCTGACTCCCAGCCAGTGCTCTGTTTTGAGTCCCTTAGTCTTAGAGTAGTGTGGTCAATTTTCAGAACTATTAAAGGGGATTAATGGGGCAGGGAGGCACCAGGCAACTCCAGAAATCGTCCTACAGCTGGTCTGGAGTGAGCCTTCGCTCCCCCAATGATCTCAGTGTTCCCCAACCTACCTACACTGTGCCATGGACTCCAAACAGTCAACCTGTTTGGCCCCTGGAAGCCTTAGTCACCTCACAAGCTGAGTCATGGTAAGCAGTTTGCCAACTCAGGACGAGGAAGGCTAGATTCAGAACAGCACTGGTTTTCCCAAACTAGTAGCCCAGCAGAATCCATTGTCCATGCTCCTGGGACCCCAGTGGCTGAATCTGTCTTAGAATATGCATGTAAAATACCAGGAAATTTCTGTAGATGCTAAGTTGTTCTCTAAAAACTCCCTCTGCTTTTTTTCCAGCGAAGACTATGTTGCATCTTTAGACACGCCCTAGATCTTTATGTGGGCAGATGGAATGAAACTGTGTCAGGCTCTGCCCAGGGTGGAGTCATCAGCAGGTCTGGCAAACACAGCCAAGTTCCTGAGGTACAGGTGTGGAAGAGAGTCAGTGGGATCCCCAAGCTCCAGGGGAGGCTGATTTGAAATGCTTCCAAGACTTGTAAGAAAATGTCTGGGAACTTTTAAAGAAGCAGATGGCCAATGAAAATTATATTAGGAATCTTACTTATGATAATGCTCAGAAAAGGGGCATGGACAAGGTGACTTGATAAGGCTTACACCATCAAAAATTGTGAAATGTCATCCAGCCTCTACCAGAGGGGAGTTTGGGGCTGATTCTTCTCTGGTTTCATTGGATCCCACAGGTACAGGCCTGTTTGGGATGGATAGCATCTGAGGGATGTTTGGGATGGATAGCATCTGAGTTCAAATGCTAGCTTTGTACTTGCAAACCATAAATAGTGGGTAGCTATAATTCCACCTTATAAAGAGAAGAAGTAATGATTGTAACGATCCTGGCAAATATCACACTCCACGTCAGCAAGAGGTGTCCTTCTTATTAGACTCCAAGTTTATAATAAAGCGTAGCCTCCTACATGATGTCACTGGGAATATGGAAGTACACTGGAGAGAAGGGAACCTGTGAGTAGGGAAGTGTTTATTCTCTATGGTGCAACATGAAACCTTTATATTTTCTAGATATGCACGAAGAACAACATACAACTATGTGATTAGCGATCGGCTTGGGAGAAACAAATATAAAGAACAGTATGCCTTCCTCTACAAGTAAGTATCATCTATGCTTCCTGGATCACAGTCCACTTCTAAATACTAAAAATTGAACAAAATATATCCTTTCTTCAAAACCAAATTTTGATCTCTAACCAGTTCTCAAGATAGCACCAATAATCACTGTCAAAATTGGAACTAATGCAGGAGTATTAACTCTTCCACCTGGAACATATGAGTTACCTTCCTAACATCTAATATAAATTGTTGACTCAATGGTGCTTGTGTTATGAGTTCTTTTTTTTTTTAAAGATTTATTTATTTATTCATACAGAACTGGGTTACAGGCCAAAGGTTCATGGGTGGTGAAACAGAGTGGGGAGCAAAACAGGCCAACTGATGAGGTACACTGCTGAGGGGAGCAGCGGGCGGGTCAGGAGAGGTCTGCTGCGCCATGTGGATCACCTCAGGGTAGGGATCGAACTCATGCTGAAATGGCTTTAGCTTCTTAGTGCTGTGCTTTAACCTGCTGAGCCACCAGCGAGGGCCCATGAGTTCTTTGTTAAAAAAATATATATTTTTTTAATTTATGCACACAAGAACTGGGGTGTAGGCAGGAGGTGCAGGGGCAAGAGGATTCACCAGAGAGAGAGAGTGGGGAGCAGAGCAGGCAGACTGACTGAAATACATTGCTGAGGGGAGCAGTGGGTGAGACAGGAGAGACCTCAGGTCACAGTGGCTAGTGATAGCTTGATAGCTCTGAGACTTAACCCTTGGACCACCAACAAGGCCCAAGTTGTGAGTTTTTTATTCCTCATAGTCAAATCCTGCTCCAGGGATGGGAAGATGAGTGAGTTGACTGGCATGATTGACAGGAATTTTACATTTTCATCTTCCTACGAGTAATCTGTTAAATCTCAACATTAATTTGTGGGTCCCCAGATAAGTAAGTACTGTTCATGTATCTTCAACTCCCAAAGCACTCTGAACACTGAGAAAGTTAACTCAGCCTTGCTTCCTGATGAAAGATCCCTTCCTGTGGTGAGGCCAGCTCAGGTTTTCAGTGAGGCTATTGGAATTTCCCTTTATCTTGAGAGACTAAGAAGACAACTTTCTAAACCGAGAGGACTTCCTTTATTCTCTTCTAGGGAAAAACTAGTGTCTGTGAAGAAACACTACCTCTATCATGACTATCAGGCTGGAGATGTGGACGTATTTTCCAGAGAACCCTTTGTGGTCTGGTTCCAGTCACCCCACACTGGTAAGACCCACATGCCATGATCTATCATCAGCAGCCCTAAGTGTGAGTGGTAATCCTAGGATTTATAAAGCCCCTTTAGGGAGGCATTAGGCTTAAGATGGCCTCTAAGAGCTTCTACTATCTGTGTTTTATTTTTTAAGATTGATTTATTTATGCATACAATAGCTGGGGTACAGGCCAGAAGTGTGGGGTGGGAGGGTGAGAGGATTCACCAGAGACAGAGTGGGGCACATAACAGGCAGATTTACTGAAATATACTGCTCAGGGGAACAGCAGGCCAGACAGGAGAGGTTTGCTGTGCCATGTGGGTCAGCTCCCTGGTTGGGGACTGAACTCATGCTGCATGCAGTGGCTGCTGATAGCTTTATAGTGCTGTGCTTAAATCTGTTGTGCCATCCAGAGAGGCCCTGAACTTCTACTGTCTGAATATAGAGGGCACAGTTTGCTGGCACCAGGCTGGCTTCTCCAAATCTTTAACTCAGAACCTTCCCAGCCTAGAACCCAGCTTCTGAAATCAATAATAACTTCATTCTCATTGGAGTATTTAAGTTAGTGGATATTATTTTCCCTATTTACTCAGCCCTTTCAAGTACCACTATTCCTTCATTGAAAAAATTTCCAGTGATGGCCAGCAAAGATGAGCTCCCAAGAGTCTCTCTCCCTGCAGAAACTACATAGCATTCTCCTCCACAGACTTGCGGTAGAGAGGAAATTGAAATAGATTGCACTCTGAACCTAGCAACAATAGCACAAGTATTAGCTACTAACAACTATGGATCCCTGATTAATGCCAGGCTCCCGTTATCTGTGTAGTAACCCTCTAAGGTAGAAATTAAGATTAGCTTCAATTTACTTTTGGGGAAACTGAGGTTAAAAAGGGTGAACCTTATTTATCCAAGGGTATCTGGAGGTTGTTGAAATGGACCAACCATGGTTGTAAGCCAATTCACATCCTGAACTATGCAATTACCTATTTCTGCCCAGAGATGACTAGCTTAGAGCCAGAGTACTTCCGGAAAACAAGCATGAGAAAATAATGAGAAATCACCAGCAGAAAAAGAGAAGGAAGTTGGGGATACTGAAACAAGAACTACCCTTCACAAAGAGCCACAATAATTCTCTTTGTCACGTACATCATTCACCTTTGGCCGACCAAGTAGTATTCAGAGACCCCTCCTCCCACAACCCCGCCCCCCCACCCATGATTGTTTTATTTCTTCTCCAAAGAGTCCTCTGTCTTTGTGACTTGCTGAAAAAAACTGTTTGTCTTGGGTCTACCCTCCATCCTTCCTTACCACTCCCTCTCTCATGTGGGGTGCAACATAGCCATGCTGTGAAAACTCCATGTTTTGGAGTTAACTCTAGTTCAAGGAAGCCTGATTATGTTGATCTGGGGTACAAGACAGGAGAGTTAACCATTGCTGTCTTTCCTCTCATTCATTCATTTACTCGTTCACTCGTTCATTCATGTATTCAGTCAACAAACATTTTTAGGGCAGCTAACAGGCCAAGTGCTGTGCTAGGTGCTGGAGCCCTGAGCTGCTGGAGCCAAGACAGATAAGCCTGCCTGCACAGAGCTTAGTTTCCAGCAGCATAGACAAGCAAAGCAAGTCATTCTGGGGCATGGAGAAGTGGGCGGGATGTACTGAGTAGAAGGGCGAGGGGCCCACCTTCAATGGGGTGACCAGCAAGGGCCCCTTCCTTGGAGGTCCCATAGAGGGCCGGGCCAGGGGAGGGCACAGAAACACACAAGTTCAGAATTGCGGAAGGGGTAGAAGTGTTTAGGGGAGGTGGGGCATGGATGGAGGCTTGAGGAGGGTGGGAAATGTAGCTGGTGGGTAAGTGTGAGGGTGCTGAAGACAGGCTGCCCACCTCAGTCCTGGCTCTCCACTCTGTGACGTGAGAGGGGACCACACCACAGCAGCTCCCACTCTAGAGTCAGAGACAGGACCCAGGCACAGCTGAAGGGAAGCTGGAGGAGGCACTCAGAATGCAACAGTGGCTGTTAGGAGCTGGGCCGCCCAGCTTCAACTCGCCCACGTCCCAACATTCACACTCTCTCTGGTCCTGCAGGGAGCGGTCCTAGACATTTCACCAAAGACTGTTTCACTTTTCAAATGATGATTTGGGGGCTTTTTTTCTTAATAGCAAAGGGAGTATAAACTGACTCAGTTTTTTCAGTTAGGAAACACTCATTCCTTTAGCACAAAAGACCAATAGGCTGATTATATTTAAAAATAGAAAATATGCTTTTTCAAAACTGAGAAAATAGAAACACCCACAATGCCAGCAAGGAACAGGTTTCTCTTAGCCATGAAGGGTAAATGGGAGAACAGAGGCTTTGGTGTGCTGAATTTCGCTGCCTCAACTTAAGACCGTTTAGATCTCAGTCACTGGCTGGACTCTGGACTTGGAGGGACCCAGATGGCACGTCTGTATATTCTAGGAAGGCAGCCTATTCCCTGTTCCCTTGAGCAGTGTCCCTGGAATCTTGCCAGGCTTAGTGTGTGACCTCTACCTTCTCCCGTTCCCCAGCTGTCAAGGATTTTGTGATTATCCCCCTCCACTCCACCCCTGAGACGTCCATTAAAGAGATTGATGAGCTGGTTGATGTCTACATGGACGTGAAACGCCGCTGGAAAGCAGAGGTGAGACCCTCTCTGTCTGTTGAATTTCCATCAGGCAGGGGAAGAATCTGAACCTTGAGGGTTGAGCGTCTCCCTGGGAGGGTGAAGGGGACAGAAAGACCAGCACCACATTCATTCTAGGCCTCTTCTCAGCCTGAAATTTCCTCTCCCCATATCTACCTGGAGCCCATTCATGTGGGTCTTGGGAACTCATATGCGTCTCCACAATAGCAGCTGCCAAACCCCACTGAGTGCATGAATGGCTGGTGTCGGGGCTCTGCGGAGGTAGGATGTGGCCAAGGTTTTGTAATCCTCCCAAAAGCTGTTTTTGTTATTCTCACTTTGCAACTGAGAACAGTGAGACATAGGTCAAGAGTCTTTCAGTGACAAGTGAGACAATCATAAACTGGCTCATGAAAGCTGCTTTTCTTGAAAATGAAGAACAACTTATTAGTTCTGCAAGGAAAATGTCTAGGGCAGCTTAGCAATAGCTGCACCCACAGTTCAAACAAGGGAGTCAGGGCTTGGCTTGGCTCTCTTCACCCATCTTTTGACTCTCATTTCCTCTAGGTGAGCTACAGGCTACTCCATCCTTGAGATGGCAAAGTGACCTTCAGCCATGTCCAGACCAATTGACAAGTTTTCTTACCCATAATGCAATGAATGTGCTACAATTGAGTCTTATTGCTTGGGACTGGTTCACATATCTACCCCTGAACCAATCACTGTGATGGGGAGCTTTGAGATGCTTTGATTGACTAAGTCTGTGTCAACTCCACCCCCACCTCACAGCGGGGGTGGAGGAGGGAATTGGCCTCGTGAAAGGGGCATGCATCCTTCACCCCTGTTGGCCTCAGGTACTTACACTCACAGCCACAGTGGCAGAAAATCTCTTGGCACACATGGGAGTGCTATTCTGATTTCTTTTCTCATTTTGGATATGACTCTAGGGATCCTCCTCCCCCCTCCTCAGTTCCGCTACTCAAAGTGCAAAATGAGTCAAAGTGTAGTAGACACACACCTGGGATACAGAGAACATGGGGGTGTATTTCAGTGCTTATTTGTAAAAAAAAAAAAAAAAAAAAAAAAAAAAAAAAA